ATCTCGGTTTTGTAAGACGCCGCTGGCAACTGTTTATTTTGTGTTTTTGTCCGGATTTCAACAGCTCACTTCTGCCAGTTCCCCTGGTTAGTGTGATTAACCGTGTTTATTCGATGTTCACGTTCGTGTGTTTGATATAAACGTGTTAAAACAACATCAGAATCTGCTTTTAAATGCTTTCAACCATCGATCCTTTTTGCAGGGCGTCTTGAGCTGATCTACCGCTGGAAGGATGTCATCTGTCGGCCAAACACAAGGAAGCGCGGTTCATGATTCAGGAGCAGATATTCACAATCAGGAAAACATGCTTACAAGACTACGCGGCGCAGCAAAGAATCGGACTGAAAACCGGGAAAATGTCAACCCTAAGCCAGGCAACAGGACTGTATTGGGCGCCCTGGAGAACAATCAGCGCAGACAGCCCGTCCTGCGCGCCGCTAAACAGGTTCGAGCATGCAGGGCACATGACTATAAAGTGTGTTCTCTTAATACAGACTGGTTTCATGATCTATCGTTTATGCATGATAGTTTATAATCAGTGTTATGCTTTAAAATAAGTATTGCTAACTGGATAATGATTAGATCATTGAAAGTTGCTTTAGTTTAACCAGTCATACGGCTCGCAGGTTTTGTCCCTTTGAATCACGAATAAATCTAATCCGTTTTCCCTTTTGTCAAACGGCATTTATGGCGCCACATGTTAAAATGAAACGCAGTGTTAAATGCCCGCAGCTTATGCTTATTCCCTCCCAATGCGCTGACCGCCATTTTACAAACCGACTCACTGTTGCTATAGTAAACTGGGTCGTTTGAAGGCATCGTTCAATAAAAATGACCTTTATACGTCCCCTGATCATATACAGTCTTATGACTATACATGTTCTCTGAAGCACAAAAGATGTTTGACTGAGGCTGTCATTCTGCCTAACATCTCTCCAGAATTGATAGTTTAGGTACACTTCAGCTTTTTGCGAACTGACTCGTTAATATTTCGACAGGTGCAATGTCCAACCCATTTATTAGGTTCTAAATGTGCTGGGTTTTGTTTTTTGAGTCGGGTCAAAATGACCCTAATTGTATTCTATACAATTCACAAATCACACAAGGTAAAAACAATTGATCTTGAACAATACTTATACTTGTAATACTTATACAAGTCTCTTTTGTTGGTGTTTAATTGCAACCCTAAGATCATGGGTGCAAATTCCCAGTGAAATAAATATGCATGATGCAATTAATGTCTTCAGTGCTGTAAGTTTCTTCAGGTAAAAGCTTGTGCCAAATGCATAAATGTAAGTGCCCTCAAAAGATGGTAGAAACTAACAATTGTTTTTGTTCTCTGTGCAGCTGTCGTTTAATGATTAAATTATAATCGTAATAGAAATTGTGTACACGCTCTTGATCTTTCACAAAACTCTACATGACCCTCAAAGTTAAGAAAAACAACATGGGTTAACCAGTATTTCCACCAACTCGAATTTAAATGGGGTCAAATTGACCCCTCTACATAATATGAAAGGTTACTGCAAACAGGGCCTATAATTGACTACTCTTTTATTACACCCTTTTTTACATGCCATCTAATCCAATTTTCTTTTTTTTTAGGTTTCTGGTCCCCAAATAACTGCATGCAAATCTGAAGAACATGGCAGGAGCTTTGGAGAGAAGCCCTCCACCAAGCCACCAGCTTTTCAGATTCATGTAGATGAGCCTGATGGTGCTTGCGCTAAGAAACTGTCTACACAAAGAGCAACCATGGATTGCTCCCCACTCACTCTAAATCCCACCGTAACCCGCCTAAGGCAGCCCCTCGCCACTATCGATCTGCCAAATCCAATGGAAGCTAGTTTTGGTAAGATGTGTATTTTTCTATTTCATTGCCCGTCTTGTAGTTCTCTATATGAAACCTGTAAATAACTTCAATATTTTTTTCTTTATAAAGACTCTCCTATGGATATGTCAGTAATTGATGGTGAGGAGAGGCCCATAAATGTCAATGAAGTCTCAGATTATGCCGCAGAAATACACACGCACTTGCGGGAAATGGAGGTGAGGAAGTGGATGCGTTGAAAGTAATATTACTTTCTGAATATTGAACTTCTGGACAATGCTTTAGAGAATATGCATTAAAGTGTTTGCTTGTGCTTCCTGTCATGCAGGTCAAGTCAAAACCAAAAGCAGGTTACATGAAGAAACAGCCCGACATCACAAACAGCATGCGTGCCATCCTAGTGGACTGGTTGGTGGAGGTGGGAGAGGAGTACAAGCTGCAGAACGAGACCCTCTACCTGGCTGTGAACTACATTGATCGCTTTCTGTCTTCCATGTCTGTACTGAGAGGGAAACTACAGCTGGTGGGCACAGCTGCTATGCTTTTGGCTTCGTAAGTATCTTTGCCTTACAGCCTCAGACTCCACACAAACCCCCTTCTCCACGCTCACCTCTCCCCTTCTCCACGCTCACCTCTCCCTGTTTGACTGTAGGAAGTTTGAGGAGATCTACCCTCCAGAGGTGTCAGAATTTGTTTACATCACTGACGACACCTACACAAAGAAACAAGTGTTGAGAATGGAGCATCTGGTGTTGACCGTTCTCTCGTTTGATCTTGCTGCTCCAACAATCAATCAGTTCCTCACCCAGTATTTCTTGCACCAGCCTGTGAGCAGCAAAGTGGAGAGCTTATCAATGGTGAGACCATTTCCTTGTGTGGAGTTTCCCTATTATAACGTAAAATTGTTTTAACACCTTTTTATTTCCCCACCAGTTTCTTGGTGAGCTGAGTTTGATAGATTGTGAACCTTCCCTGAAGTACCTCCCATCTCAAACGGCTGCTGCGGCTTTCATTTTGGCCAACCACACACTTGCAGGTGGATCATGGGTAAGGTTGCGCAATTCTGAATATTCTTAAACTAGACTGCTGGAGCAAGTTGTATGAACAGCCATCATGTTTAGACTGTTTTAAGAATTAGTATGACCAACTAGCAGTTAGCCACGGTGTAGTTACTCTTTTGGTGTCAAACTAGACCCACCAAAATGTTATAATCGAGATTGGTTTTTTTTTTTTTTTTTTTTTTCAACTTTCCATTTCAGTCAAAGGAACTTATTGAGATGACCGGCTACACTTTGGAGGATCTTATGCCGTGCATTCAGGATCTACATCAGACCTACCTCAGTGCTGCTCAGCATGCACAGCAGGCTGTTAGGGAGAAGTACAAGGGCTCGAAGTAAGTTCACTTAACCTGAATGCCCAATGGCTGTGTGTTAGCATAAGTCTTGGAAGATTGCTTAAGATTATAATAACTTTTTCTTTTTCTTCCAGGTACCATGAAGTCTCTCTTATTGAGCCTCCTGAGAAGCTAATGCTGAACTAACCATCAACATTGTGTTCATTGGTTCCATACCTCCATGAGAATTGTGTACACCTTTGATGCTTTATTTCCATATCTCCAATAACTGAAGCCATAGCCTCAATTTTGGGGGAATGGTGAGATTTTAGTGATATGTACATTTTTATTAGCAGTCCTTAAGGATTGTGCCTTTTTAATGCTTGAAACAACCAGATATTTGTAAATTAGGTAATCAAGCATTGTTCTTATATTTCAGTGTTTGTATTCTATTTTTATGAAAGACTCCAGCAGTGCACTTTATCCTTTTTTCTACACTGTTAAAGTGACCTTCCCCTTTTACATCTTAATAAAAGTGCTGCTGGCCTTTATTATGCTTTGTCTTGTTTCTCTTTATCACACTTGTACAAGTTGAGGAGGTGGGATCCCTGAAGCTTTAGACCATGTTGAAGGGGGTCTCATGGGCTGTGTAATGTATAACCTGGTTTTGATAGACAACACTTTAATTTACCAACATGGTTTTATTGATTCTTTGGGTCTTAATGTTAACCATGAGCAGTAAATGTTGCAGTATTTATTAAAATACATAGGTAAAAATACAGTTCTTCATTGTTGGTTGATGTTAGCTCAGGTCCATTAAATATGAGATACAACTTTTGAAATTAACATTAAGCTTTAATATTTAAAGAATGAAATGCTATTATAGCAATTAAGCTGATGATAATAGGTCCTTGCTGTAAAGTGTTATAAAAGAAATGCTAAAGGAATCTGAATGTTGCGTGTACTACACAAGGAACTAGTACAGAGGCTGTGCAGCATAATGGCTCTTTGTTGGGTACAATTTAAAATGTTGACAAATTAAAGAACAGTTTATAATGTACTTTATCCTGGTAATACATTAAAGGTAAATGCTGCTGTGATGGGGTTGAATTAATATTTCTGAATTTCATAATTCTTACATTACCACCTATTTCTTTTGGAAAGGTGGGATCTTTTTATATATATACTTTGGATAAATATGATAGTCTCTTAAAATACAGCATGACCTTAAGTGTTTTGTTGCCACAAAAAAAATGTATTCATTAATACGAATAGCAAAATCCACAAGTATATAATCCTTGACAGCATGTTACAGTAATTGAACATAGCTCAAAACTGTTACATCACGGAATATATACATAATATACTGTGTATATATAATATATCATGGAATACAAGAGCTCAGCATCCCAAACCAAAACTGTCTATTTTTTTAATTTCATAAAAGACATATCAAAAAGTTCTGCATGTGCAAATTCTGTAGACCTGCTTCATGGGCACTTAATCCTTTATCTCAGAGGAAACATCTTCCCCTACAAACCTTTCACGCATTTGTAATCCTACTTATGAACTACATTAAATCTTAACATTAAAATACAGAGCTCAATATATTATAGTGGCCAGTACTATCATAACCATAACATGTTTTACATACAACAGAAACTGTCACTGACAGATATCCTTGAACGATCCAATCGTTTTTATACTAGTCTTGGTATTTTAAATGATCGGTTAGTTACACATCAGCTGTAGTACACAGGCAAGCCATTGCTTACGTTATCTTGTTCAGTAACAATTGTTTAATGGTTTTAAACTCTGAAATTAAACCATCACCAATGTTAGTTACAATTTATTATTAGATCATAGATTTTATTAATCTACACAGACCATAGTTATAAACAGTGGCAATAAATACAGAGACAACATGCCTTGAACAAGCAAACAATTGACAAATTCTAAAATGCAAAAAAAAACTTGCCCTGACAATAAATAGCATTGAAGGCAAAGAACAGTTAAGTATAGGGCTCTCTATGTGATAGATGAGAATCACAGGATATTTACACCTTAGTCATCTGTTCATATGAAGAAGGCATCCTGAAGTAACATTTAAAACTTCATGGACTCAAATGGCATTTAGATCATGGTCAAATATTGGGAAAAGCTTGGGGGCAAGGTACATTAAGATTTTCAAGGTAATCCAGTACAATATATAAAAAAATTCTTAGCAAGAACATACAAATGGAATCAAACTGAAGAACAGACAAGTGTAACGACAGCTGAAATTTGAGTTCCCAGACTGATCTCATTAGAAGGACAAGCTATTAAGAGCTATATCTATTTAACCTAGCATTTAAGATTCAATGTCTCAAGGGATCCTCTCTACCCCCCAAAAAAAATCAAAATCAATATAAAAGCTCTAATGAACTGAAAAAAAAGTTGTACCCCCTTAACAGACAACTGTGCACAGAGATACATCTTCTGGCTGATTTGTTTTTTTTTGGAAGCAGTCAGATTGAGAGTCTCTCCAAACGCCTCAGTGCAGAGGAGGACATCCATCTCTGAGCGATCAGACTTGGCCATCTTGCTTGTAAGTCAATCTTGAAACTGTCCCAATCTGTGAACTGTAGTAATGTGTGAATGTTCAGAGAGAGCAGTTAGACGCCAGTGGGAGCAAGGCGGCTAATGAAGGCAATGCTGTTGAGGCACATCCTCCTGAAGAAGGCAGGGCAAATGGGCTTCATCACAAAATGCTCCAGTAAAATCCTCAGTTCGGTGAAGAGAGTCCTGACAGGACACAAACAAAAATCAAACACTGATAGAGGGCTCATGTTTTTTTAAACATGATTAAATATACATTTAAACATCAATGATCTGATTAAATAGTTTAGCTTGCTCTAAATATTTAATTTTCCAAGGAAATGAGAATATAAATTTCCCCTTATTTTGGGATTAGTGTGCATGTGTACAAATAACACTAGTCAGTGTGTACATGATTCTTACCGGCAGTATGGGTTGCGTCTTGATGTATAGCGCAGAGTGAGAAACCGATAGTAGATGAAGGGCTGAAGCAAACTGCCCTGGCCACTGTGAACCACAAACCAAAATTCATTCCATCTTATTACAAGAAACACAGTTTGGCTTTAATCAAGCTTTTTACCGGTACAAAACAACTTCTTTTTTTTCACCCTATAAAGCCCACTGTATTATATTTGATACATACATTTCTTAGGCCTCTACATTTTCAACATGTTCAAAATTTTGCTTAAAAACTTGTACACAATCTACTTACATGCCTTCTGTATCTGATTGATAGTTTAGTTTATACTTCTTTTTTTAGCAGGTAAAAGTCTTTTTAGTATAATTCTAAAAATGTCAACCTTGAGGTTGTGGTACACAACTTGCTGTGAAATCTTTACTGGTTTTTAGAAAGTAAACATAAGAATATCTCATATATTGTTGGTAATATTTCAAGATGAACACTTGCAGAACTGAAGCAACTTAGGTTAATTTGATTATCCATACATAATGTTTTTAGAAAAAATATGTTAGGATGCCCTGAGGATGGTCTTTTGACTGAAAGCATGGTCTATTAAATTTGCTATAAGGATTTGAGTGTGCGGACAGTTTATTTATTGAGAAAAAAACATGTTAAAAAGTGAGCATCAAATATGATCATTAGGCTTTTGAGGAACATCTAATTGTACATCTGTACATCAACATCATCATTGTTTTGCATTACATGTTTTGCCCCCACAATAGTAACTACAGAGCTTTGATCATAAAAATATTCATTTATATATCATCTTACTCAAGACTGATTTACTGTATTGATTTGCAGTACAAGCTATCAGAATTTCATTTTACTTTTTGGCACGAGATTACATATTTTTGCTTAGTTTTGGCATTCTAATAAAATGTATACCACCTCTAGTATGAGCTTCATATTCTCAGTATATCATACTATCTGAGTCATAAAGACCTGATGTATCAACTGTGATACTCAACATAAATCTAAGAAAGAAAGAAAAGAAAAAGATTGTCTAAAGGTCCAAGAAATGGTTTCATTTAAAATAAGAATTTGATTTTCTGACTATTATTTCATGTCAGACTTTACACTGGGTTAAGAATCCTTACCTGAAGAGCATGAAGACTGTGGCTGGCATCAAGAAGATCTCATTGCACGCGATAAACTTTAGGATGTTCTGCTGATTGGCTGTGAGCTTGTTCAGAAAGTTCCTCACAAACATAAGGCTGTTTGGGCCCATGGTCTGAAGACAGATGACAGACAAAAAAAATCAGGCTGGAATTACAACAAAAACACATCTCAGCTATGGAAATGAGAAGGGCAGAGACTTACATCAAGGACTTTTTTAGTATAGGTGGTGGCGTGGAGAAGTGAGAAGAGGAACACAGGAAATATGCTCACTGACAACACAAGTCAAGGCTGCATAAAGACAAAATTATGCCATAACACAAAGAAAAACTGATATTTTCCCTTAAAATATTCTTCAACATATCTTCAAGAAAGGATACTTGTGATAGGGTAGGAGTTGACTAGGATGAGGGAGTAGAGGAGATAGTGGCAGCTGTCCTCCTGTAAGGCCTGAGCCAGGAAGGCTCTGCTTAGCTGAAAGTGAGGAAGTCTCTGGTGCAGACGCAGAGCGCTGGTCAAGGCATTTGCCAGCAATGCCCTCTGATAGAAGTTAGCAGCTGCTTGGGGCCTGGACAGAGAAAAAGCAATTATTCTTCTCCCAATCTTTCACTTCTTTTTAAATGTATGAGCGTGGATGTGTCCTTACCACCCTAAATAGTCCTCATCATCATAATGCGATTCCACAATGTATCATTTTTTTAATCCCTTAACGGTCACCGTCCTGCTAGCTTTTTCTTTTCACATATTTTACTAATCATCATAAATTAGGTATTCAAAGCTTACACCCTCCATATTTATCCTGTGAAAACCATTTTGAAATCAAACATTGTGTTTCCAGGTATTTAAAGGGTTAGTTCACCCTAAAATGAAAATTCTGTCATTAATTACTCGCCCTCATGTCGTTCCAAACCCGTAAGACCTTCGTTCATCTTCGGAACACAAATGAAGATATTTTTTATGAAATCCGAGAGCTTTCTGACCCCTACATAGACAGCAATGGAACGACCAATTTCCGTTAACCATGTAAACTAACCCTTTAAATTAAATTTAGCAGGCTCCTCCCCTTAGTGGGCAGTGTCATGTTTCATATTACAAAATTTACTGCAATTTTATAATCAAATCTTTTCTAATCTTGACAAAACACATATCGTCAGAAAGGTCTGAGACTCAAGGTCCATATTTGGTGATTGTTTTGTGATAGAAGTGATATTGTGACAAAATGTATTCATTTGTGACAGGAAAACGCATCAGAAAAAATTCAATAGAATGTGGGTGTCACCCGGTGGCTATTTTTGGTATAGCGCATACAAATCTCATAGAGATTTCAATTTTTGAGATATCAACTTTAAATTTGGAACACAACTTGGTTAGACATATGGCTTTGGTTTCACAGCATTTTTAGATTAAAAATTACCTGTAAAATATATATTTTGTATAAAATAAAAAATGTTTAGTACAGTACATTGGCTTTACAGCAAATGTACCCAACTTTAGGTCTGTATTCCAAAGCATTCATGAATTTAAACCATTTAAGTTGGGATAGTGCTCATCTATGCTCAAAAAGGGGGGTGACAGTTAAGAAGCTTGTGAAAATGCCTTGCAAAAGAACATGACTCACCCAAGCAGAGGCAGAATGAACATGATGGAACAGTAGACAGTGAACAGCCGTGACAGCCACATAGCCGTTTCCAGCTTATTACTCAAGAGGAATTGCTGTAACACATTGATATGATAATAAATCATAACATTCTCAAATGAAGCAATTAAAAAGGCACGGAAAAATATATATACATAAAAAAGTAGTACTTACCACAGGTCCAGCCTGAGGGGGAGGAGGTGGACTCCTTTGCTCTGTGTCTGCCATCTTTCAAATATTAGAAGGCTCGATTTCTTGAGAGAAATAACATTATAAGCTTGCATTGGATGCAATAGTTTAGATAATACGCTTTACACAATCATGCACTCAGGTTTCTTATGAACTCTTGGAATGAAGGAAGAGACAAAATGACTTTAGTTAATCTTTCTAAACCCTGAAACAATTTTTAAGCAGTTACTCTTTGTGTGGTTGTCAGGTGTGTGGGGGTGGGGCATAGACACAAGCACATTAGCTCTAACAACCTCGATGTTTATTAGTTATACTTATTAAACATGAAGCTTTCTTACAACAAATTATTGGGGAGAAAAAGATATTTGTCTTGTTTATCACCGATGCGCTACCACAAAGCAATAAGAATTACTTCCATAATATCGACCCAAACCAGAACTACACTTGTCAATGTAACGTTAACTGCTGACTAGTCATCATGACAAATTACAGATTTCTGAATATTACTGTGCACTTGACAGTTTAATAAATACTTAAATAAATTAAAAGTGTGGTCCATTAGGTAGTTATAAAGCAGTCAATTCATTTCAGTTGAAATATGTTGGAAAAATCTAGAACACTCTTCATTAACGTTACCCTAAGGAGCTAGCAATGTAACGTTAGCCGACAAGCTAACACTTCACACAGCCCGACTACAACCACTGACAGCCCTGAAATACCGCCAACTTGTGCGCGTATTAATACTGCCAAAAATAGATAAAAGATAGATAAAGATAAATATTAATACCTGTGATATATCGGTAATTATCAGTTTTTGTGAGGAAAATCGGCTTTATTTCACCGCTCGGGGCGCACACGCTTCACTCTGGAATAATGTACGAGAGGTTGGTCAGCTGAGCTGAGGCGACCTCGCTCGCGTCTCGCGACCTCTGCAGATTGCCGAAATCTCGCGATATTTCGGACCATAAGATGCCACCGTTGTCAGTTTTGTGTTGTTTGCTTTTTTATTTCAAATATCTGCCTAAAATATTTCACACATACTCCAAAATAATATAATATATAAATAACAAATATTTTACATAATAATAATTATAATAAAAATCTCTGTTTGTGACCACAAATCACATAAACAACTATAAATAACTACCTATAAACCACGCCAGAAACACGATAAAACCACTCAGAAGACATTAGCATCGTGTCCAGTTTTGCACGTTCTCAATTAACATTTTATTCGGAAAATGTAAAAAAAAAAAAAAATCACTCTCACGCGGACGCATAAAATAATAATAATAAAAATAATAATAAAATAATTTGAAAAATAATAAAATAAAAACATACGACAGAAAGCGGTTAGTTGGAAAGCTACATCCTACAGACAATCAGAGCCACTGTGGAAATGCTTGAGTCAGTTCAGCGCGGCGGTGTGCGCAAGCCTGTAGAGCTCCACGAGTTTGTAGTGATGCACGCGCGACCTTTCTTAAAGTCTAGTGACTTCGACACACACAGGAGAGACAATTTTGGATAAAAGACAGCCGTTATTGCAGGTTCTGTTTCTCATGTCATAACGGCAGAAGGTCAGTAAATATTTTTTATTCGCTGAAACTGTTTTGACTGTTGACGACTGGGTTAGTGTCAATATCAAGCATGGAACGATGCAAACATCGATTAAACACAATTTTATGTTTATCTATTTATAATTTCCATTGGAGTGCATGAAAATTAAATCATGATGTTAACAACTTTTTGCATGTCTCGCGACATCCCATGTGATCAGCGTGCACGGTTCCCACCCTAACGTTATACAGGTGTCTGTACTCCAGCAAAGATGCACGCAAAACGGAATTGCATATTTATAATCCTCTACATTTGTGTCTGTGTATGCCTGCGTTTCTCACAGATGTTGACGTTCGAGGCGCTTCTCGTGAAAGAGCTGCAAAAACAGCAGAGCAGGGCAGAGTTCTGTGATACTGTGCTGCAGACTCAAGGTTAGGCATCTCACAGAAGTCCATCCTCTGCTCATTAGTCGATCCTTTTCCATCTTCCATTATGTTTACTGTACTCTCTCCACCCCTGTCCAGGTGTTTCAGTGCCAGTGCACAGCTGTGTGTTGTCTGCCTTCAGCCCAAAGCTCTGTGGAACTCTGTCAGCCATGCCATCACCTCTAAATGGACAGAGACGACTGATTGAAGTCCAAGCCGTAGAGGCCTGCACGTTGCTCAGTCTGGTCAGTCTGCTGTACTCAGGTCAGTTCAAGGAGGACAAAGAGGAAGTCCTATTAGCAGCCTGCAAACTAGGCATCAACATACCTCAACGAGAAGCAAAGAGGTTGGCAACTGAGAAAAACACACAGACGGAGTGGATCAAAGCGGTGTCGGAGAGAGAGTGCCAGACCGAGTCTGTTCCGACACTCCCCTCTGAATATCGAAACCATATAGAAACAATTGCAACTGTAATTGGTCCGTCGTCATGTAGGAGTGATCAGGGCCTCTGCACGTATACCGATGGCTCTGATATCACCCTAGCAACACTTAAAAACGGCCAGGGTAATCCAGAGAACATTCCTTCCTTTCAAGTCATGGATGTGGTCCCTGAAACCCCTATGTATCCCACAGTGAGTGGACCTGCCTGTTTGCCCCAGGTCTACGTATGTCCCCCTGCAGCTTCGTACCAGCAGCCTCCAACCCCACTGCCAACTCACCCTCACCCTTCTCATAGTACATGTGTTGAGCAATTGGCTAATCAGGACAGAGTAACATTGGGGAGCGTTTTAGAGGGCGATGAGTGTGTTTTAGAAGCGTTTGCACAGTTTGAGAACAATATCCCAGGTTTTATCAACTACTTCCTTGACACTAACATCTCGCAGGGCGTAGGGCAAAGGGAGCAGAGTCAGAGAGGGATGAGAGGGGACATTAAAACTGAGGGAAGGGCAAGAAGGGGGCGAAAGGCGGGGTTAAGCGAAGGATTCGCTCTGAAGGGAGAAGTATTGAATATTTGTAAAAGAGAGCAAAATATGAATAGGTTCGGAAGGGTGCCAAGGTCCGCCTGGATGGGGCAAGGTGGGGGTAGGGTTGGCAGGAGGCTAGATTTGAGACAAATGTTCAAAAATCAAGAGAGGAGGAGACGACAAGGCAGAGGAGTGATAAAAGAGGAAGGAGAGAAAGGCAAGTCTTCATCAAGGGCCAGACAGAGAAAGACAGGGAGCAGAGGCAGATTGGTAGAACCAGTGTGTCAGGTAGGTGTCTCACGACATATTCAGAAAAGAAGGTATAAGGAGGTATGACTAAAACATAACAAAAATCCTTGATTTTTATTCACTTTAAAGTTTGAATAAATGATTTAAATGATTCATATCGTGATCAATCAAAATTCCCTTGATCTTTTGTGGAAAAGGTGCTTCTGCTTAATGAATACATAGACACATACTGTAACTTGCAGTGTTCAAAGCATCATCCCAGACCATTCATTGAGACTAAAATGTCTCGTTTCGAATTTCCACATTGTCTGATAGATGAATCCAATGACGCATGATGCTTGTATGTCAAAAAAATATTTAAATTATTAAAAATACACTACCTTCCAAACGTTTGGGGTCAGAAAGACCAGAAAGGATCAAAAGTGACAGTGAAGACATTTTATAATGTTACAAAAGTTTCTATTTCAATTAAAGTTTCTATTTTCAAATAAACGCTGTTAATTTAAACTTTCATCAAAGAATCTTGTAAAAATATGATTAATTATATTATATTAATATAATTAAGCAGCCCAACTGGTTTCAACATTGATAATAATAAGAAATGAATTAGAATCTCAGCTCATTATCAGCTTACTAGAATGATTTCTGAACGATCATGGGACATTGAAGACTGGAGTAATGATGCTGAAAATGCAGCTTTGCCGTCACAAGAATAAACTACATTTTAAAATATATTCCAATAGAAAACAGTTGTTTTAAATTGTAATATTATTTCATAATATTCCAGTATTTGTGATCAAATAAATGCAGCCTTGGGACTTCATAAGAGCATAAGATACTTCTTTAAGAAACATTTAAAAAAAAAAATCTTTCCAACACCAAACTTTTGATTTAAAAAATAAAAAAATATATTAAAAAATGCATGATATGATCTCTTCAAATTGTAAATACAAATGCAACAAAGCAGTCACTCAAATATTCTCTGAAATAACACTTGTCACTTTTTCTGTAGGATGCCGCTCCGCCCCCAAGACGAAGAGGTCGCCCTCGCAAACATCCCTTGCCCCAACAAAATGTTTCCCGAAATTTTAGTGGAACATCAGCACCTGAGCAGAAGACCATGAACCCTCCAGCTCCATCCCTGATGCACACCGCACCTCTCCTAGCCGTCAATCAGACCGGCCTCACTCAGCCAATGGACTGGCTGATAGATGACGTCATTGCACAGCTCCCTTTCATGCCCAACAATCAGCACGGAATAACAAATCCTGTCAATGTAGATTCCAACGTGGATCATCCAAGAGCGCAGTCTACGGTTAAGCTCACAGATCTTGGTTTAGTCCAACCACAGTCTGAAGGTGAGCTGACTGACATACTTGACAGTTTTCTGAGAACGTTTGAGCAACACGTTGGTGTAAGTGAATCAGATGTTCGAGATGGGATGGTGTCCAACGGAACAGATGGTAGCCAGACCTGTGAACATACAAACACATCAAATGCACATGCTACTTCTATGAACACAACAACTCAGGGGGCAAATGCCTCATTATACAAGAACAGACCACAAGTCTCATTTGTTCATAAACCGCAGAAACCATCAGGTTATTGGCAGGTGTCAGATTTGACAATGGAGAAATCACTAACACAGCAAGGTGAAGAGAAGCCTGAAAATGTCAGGATGACCAGAAGCCAGAGTAGGAAGAGGAAGCTGGAAATTATTGAAGAACTGCCTAGGAGAAACGAGCTCCCCGCAAAACCGAAGAGAGAAAGGAAAAAAGAACGACTAGAGAAGCCAAAGGTGGAAGCTTCTCTACCGAGGGACGGTGAGCAAAAAGGCACCAGCAGCACAGTTGGCTCAAGCTGCAGTGTTGCGAGCGCATTGAAGAGAGTCATAAACACAGCCAGTGCTCGCAATGTGAAATGTACCACAAAAACAACGTCTCAGAAGACTTTAGATGGGTCAAAAACCTCAGAGTTGCATGATCGCAAAGTGACCAGTCTTGTAAAAAAGAAACAAGTGGGTCATGCTAAAAGAGACGCGACCAAAACTCTTCTAGAAGGAAGAACGTTAAAGGTGCAGTGCAGTACAGGGACTTCACAACCCAAACGGCCAGTCATAAAGAAAAAAACCACTGGGTCCCGTCCAGCTCTGTCTGCTTTTGAATTAATGAAAAAGATCTTGGAAAATCAGCAGAACAGAGAGGAAGAGCAAAAGGGAGAAGTTCACAGAACTGTGAGGAAACCGAAAGGAAAGGGGAGGCTGAAAAACACGCAAGTACATGGAGCTGAGGTACAAATGACGAACAACACAGAGATGGATGGTACAATTATGGTCGAAGAGCACAATAATAGCAGAATGAACCAAAAAGATGAGGAAACAAAAGGGAGAATGGAGGAGGTTGGCAACCAGATGACCATGTGCCTTCAGCAGACTCTGCCTTCAGCTAAAGGTATGTGCCCACAACAGTTCAGTTATTTGGCGATAATAGAGATTTTTTGTTATGATTTGGCTGATATTGGATGTGTAATTGGTCATGCTCATTTCCCCTATTTTACATTTATATTACCTTTGTATCTATCTAGTGCTCACTTAAAATTAATTTGTTTAATTTAATTAAAAGCAATATTTAGCAAATCTCAAAATGATTTTTTTTACTGTGTATTGTTTTGTTGGCTAAATTAATGTATAGCAGTGTTATTATTTATACCATTATTTATTCATATTTTTATAAATGTTTTGTGCTTTTATCATCTTTATTAGTTTTTTAAATATTTCTACTTGGCTATATTTTTTCAGTTAGTTGCCAATACAACTTATTTTTGTTTGTCTTTTGTTTAATATTTATATTTATTTTATTTAATCTTATTTCAATTAGCAAAACTACAACAACCACCCAGACTTTAAACATTTAGACAAAGTTTCATAGATTTATTAGACTGATAATATATGATTGGTCGTTTATTAATGAAAGCTTCTTTCTGCCGCTAAATAAAAAATAAAACTTTTTTACTACTTTTTTTTCTTCTTTCTTCTCAGTATTGCGTGATATAGACTCGCAATTGCGTGTTATAAAGTCAGAATTGTGAGATAAAAAGTCTCAATTATCTTTTAAATTGTTTTATTCCGTGGAAAACAAACTTCCATGTTTATTGGTAATTAGCAATAACATGAATGATCAGTTTTTTATTAGTACTTTTCTCTGGTAATTATTATTTATTCACAGATTGCAGAATGTCAAATGGAGAGAAACCGATGGAGAACAGCTACAACAAAGCAAGACTTGAGACTGCTGCCTCTCCCAATGATGCTCCTTTTCAAAGATGCAGCACAGAAGGCGTCATGTTTAAAAACAGGTCAGACATGCCTTTTGTCTCGCATGCACTGGATCCCACCGTGCCTCTTGAGAAACTCCGAAATACACAAGGGGCCACAGACAGTTTAGAGGAGGATGAGGATGTTGATGTCGTGGAGGTCTCTAGTTCCTTGTCCGAGTCCTTCTCTGTGCTGCCGGTCTCTGCGGACATTGTTCTCAGCACAGAGGAGGAGGAGGACGATGACGAAGACTACGAGATTGATGTGATAAGTTTAGGATCCAATTAAACATGGACAAATTTCCTTTACTGTTTAATACCGTTTAGCTTTAGTACTAAATAAATGTCCATCGATGCATATTTGTAGTACATGGTACCTTTTCCCTGTAAATAATTCAATACAGAGTTTACACAAATGTGACCGTTGGCAGTATTTGCTATTTTGACTTTGGTGGCTTCAGTTTCAGGCATCAGAAATTTTTATAGTTTTAAGTTCTGAATGTTAAAGTTGTTTATTTGTGTGACAACCATGCCTTCTTATAAATAATGAGACTGCTATTAATGTCCGCAGAGTTTTCTTGTCGTTTCCCATGTTCTGAATAAAAAGACATGGATCAGACCTTAGTTGTTCTTGTGTTCAAATACAAATCTACATGTTAGTTCGATAATACTAAATCATGTATAGTGGAAGAATAATTTCATGTACTTGACAGTTTGATTTGTCTAGGACAGCAGACCACACATAACCATAACCACACATAAAGTGCAAAGATTTTGATATGAATATATGAGAAACTCATCACATATGCTTTAATTAGAAGCATCAGCAGTGATTTATTATAAATTTTAAACTTTACAAATAGCACCTTTCCAGATATCTATAGTGTTTATTTGAAAATGTAATGTTGTGTAAGGAACTGGATTTTGCATTTGTCATAAAGAAATTAATATACTTAATGTAACATCTTCACACACAATAACTGCACAGAACTGAGTCACTAAAGTGAACAGGTTTATTTATTAAGCATTTATTCATGTTTTTGTCCTCCTACACATTACACCTGAGCTGCTCTCAGCCAGTCCCCATCCAGGGATATGGCCTAACTTAGCTTGGTTTGCATTGGCTGTGTTGAGCACCTCGGGAAGGTGTTGTTTAGCACCTGACATTAGTCATTGTCAGTAACTGATTGGCACCCTCGTGTAAGACACGATGGTATGTGTGCCCTAGCAATAAAAAGACACTCGGTAGGAAATACAGTGAGTGTGTGTTTGTGTAAAGCGTGTTTGTCGGGCGGCAGGGTGATTGGTGTAGTGTCCCCTGGTGAGGCTGAGCTCTTAGTGCTGGATTCTGCGGATGGACTGGATCTGAGGGGTCTGGCTGTGGGAACCCCAGTTTCTCCAGTGCTGATAGTCTCCGCTGTGCCTCTCACACTCCATGATGTACTGCCTTCCCTTGTATCCTGGGAACTCGTAACACACGAAACTACACACATAGATGGAGAAATGAGGGTCAGGTATTTCTGTGCTGAAAGGAAATGAATACAGAGAAAATATAAAGAAGACACTCACGCGCCACACTGCACATGCATGGAGCCCACTTCAGGTCTACACCATCCCATGGCCTGCAGAGAGGGGTAGTCGTCACACAGCTCCACATTGCGGCCCAGGAAATTTTCCCTCTCGAAGATCATCATGCGACTGCTCTGGTGAGACTGTGGGGAGAGCGAGAGAGCGTTTGACCCCTTATATCCACATATTCAAGTGATTATATATCACATAAAAATATATAATGGTGCAGGCATTCATTTTTTAGAGATGAATAAATAGTGAATAGTTTGCATAAATATGTTGTACATTACATGAGATAAAGACAGTCATATCAGTAGTCTAATAAAACCTTAATGTATATCCAACTTTACCTTGATACATACACTACTCTCATGTAAAATGATTCTTATTATACAGCAAATCTCAACTGCTTGATTGTTTATATTTTCACAGAATGTAAACTATATTATAGACCAGCAATTTATAATTAAAGTTGGATATATAGTACATCCAATTTTACATACTGTACACTCACATAAAGCAGTTTACTATATAGCAAATAATGGCTGTGTGATTGTTTGTGTTGTCACAAAATGGTACATAATACTATATTACAAATCTCAAATGCTTGATTGCTTGTGTCGTTGCAAAATGTAAACTATATTATCGCCCGACTCTAATCTGCTTAATGTGACTATAAGGCTTGAAGATATTAAGATAGTATAAACATTAACATCATAATTTTCTGTAAAGCTGCTTTGAAACAATGTGTACTTTGAAAAGGGCTATACAAATAAATTTGACTTGACTTTTTGATTTTTGTTTTTACATGGAGCGGCTCGCCTCATTGGGGATGATATGTTGAGATCGCATGACCAGTCGAAGGCTACTCGCTTTGTATCTGTTATGGACACTTGACGAATAATTATTAAATATCGGCCTGCACAAAATACTGTGTACTATTAAGATTTCTAGTACAAGAAAGGATATAATACTCACAGCGCAGTAGACAGGTCTAAAAGACATGAGTCTCTCCACATGGTAGGACAGGTTTCCACTGTAGGCATCCCAGTGAGGATACTCTCCTCTCTCCAGGATGAACTGCTGTCCCTGGAAGTCATGGTGCTCATAACCCACCCAGCTATGTAAAAGAACGTCCAGTCATACATGGGCACATTCTATTGGCTGAAAGGTTCCATAGGCACACATTTATTTGACCAACACTACAACTCACGCGCCACTCTCCACACGAATAGAACGGATGTTGTCGAAGCCACACTCCTGAATGTTGCAGCATTCTGAGGTGAATTCCTGACATTTTCCCTGGAAGTGTTCCTGCTCAAACACAGTCACCTAAGATAGTGGAAGCACAAATGTAAAGTGTGTGAAAATGTTGTTTTCTTATAATATATATGTGAAAAGTACTCAAATAAATGACTTGAATGGGTTTGTTTGCTATATAAAATAAAAGTGACCATATTCTATTGATCCAGATGCATCATTATAACAACAAATCCTTTTTTGGGATTAAAGATGGGTAATTTCAAAAGAGATTGAATGTATGTGTGTTTAATGACAGTTTACCTTGAAGAAAGGAGCCATTCCCATGCCAGAGCTGATCATGGGCTGCATCATGGCGGATCGATTGAACCTATACATCTTTATATCTAAAAACAAACAGGGGGGGAAAAAACAGAAAAAACATATTAAATATCATTTAAAATATTTAGATAAAAATTGTGAAATTAACTCGAATAAATTTGTTAGTATTAGAAGTAAACTGTTTTTATCAATATTACAAATAAAAACGGTTACTTAAAACACCCAATAATCGATGTTAGATTAATTAGGTATTTTATTAATAATAAAATGTAAAAAAAAAAAAAAAAAAATTGTTAAATTTAAATCAAAACCATTCGCATAATAATGTGGCCATACTAAGAAGATGTTTGTAAAGTAGACCATAATAAGTTTATAATTGTGCCATGAGCTCGTTGAGATGTAATTTGGACTCTTACCGTTTTAGTCACTGAGCTAGAGAGTGGCACGCGCCTTAACGCCTGTTTCGCGTGGAGCTTTGAGAGAACCTGGCGCTTCAGTTTTATACCGACCGCCGCGTGCGCGCACTCCAATGCGCGCTCCCGCCATTGTGCGCGCGGTGCGCGTGGACTGCCTTCTGATGGGCTAGCGGACAGGCCACAGGGTCGCCAGCTCAGCACATACTATAGAAGTGCCACATGGGTGTTGTGAGCCCATTCACTGACAAGTGCAGTGCGTTTTGGGTGAAAGCAGGAGACACAAAGGGTTTGGCCCCAGTGTGTTCGTGCAGGTCAGCACTCCTGCTCACAATGAAACCAAAATGCTGGGATCATCTGAGTGAACTTGCTCCAACTGAGTGTGATTTTGAAATTATGTATCTGAGCTGCTGTGGGTGCAGTGAGGAAAGTTGATGCTGATTTTCATGCAAGTTAGCCTACTCAAGATTTGGGGGACCAAACCTGAAAAGTTACAATGTCTGGTTCAAAAAAACGATTTGGATCAATATATATATATGGTTGGATCAATAAAAAGACATTTATATAATTTATATCATGCAAGTTAAACATTTTACAAGATCAGTAGGAAAGTGATTTTACTTTATCAATATAATCCATAATGGACATTAAATTGGGGCATGCCCACCCAATATTCATATTAGAGTAATGGTTAATTGTTGAATGTTTCCTGTGACACAAAGTTTTATACCTTTATATTGTTGCCATTTATTTTAGATTGTTATTATTATGTACTTTTATTTATTTATATAACTATTTGTAGGAGAACAACCATATTTTGTGTGTGTGCACAGCACTACAAGTCCAAGACAAATTACGTTTCAATGACAATAAAGTATTTTTCTATTTAATTTTTAATCCTATTTAATTTAATTTCAATTTTATTTTATTTTATTTTGGTCCCCCAATGCTGAATATGTGATTGAAATGAAAAATTTTGTAAAACACTTAAATCATTGGTTTAATAAATCGTGTTTGAAAGAGAAACCTTATACAATGACGTTAAATGAAAATGATCTGCTCATATAAAGTGAACAGCATTAACAGTTTTTTGAGAGTAAAATAGCAAAAAATCTTCACCATCAAAGTTATTGGTTCAGTTTCAGTCCCTATAAATAAACTTTTGCCCCCATATTGCTTATGTTTTAGGCTTGAAAGTCCAGTATTGGGTAGTGATTTGTTTGGAGTTTGAATTTTTTCGGACTATCTCATTCTCTCTGTCTCTTACACACACATACTCTCTTTCTCACTCTGTGCTGATGATGTGGGGCTTCTTTTCTGTGAGTCTGCTGAACACGGCATGTTTCATTGTGTCAGTGTAATCCTCACAGACTCAGCGCCAGGGTATAAAAGCTGCGGGCATGGCCAGACGCAAACACTCTCAGAGTGAACCCTGGGTACGGACACACACTCACTGAACACAGGTAAGACAGCAGAATATCCACTCATATACACATAAAACTTTAACCTAACAGCTTGGAGAGTATAAGAGGGTTGGTTTTGATTTGTATCACCATAATGAACACCACCACCCGCACCACCACTTCCCCTTTGTCACTATCACTTTAATATTGTTTGCCCCAAAGACCCCCTACATCCATTCCAAACATATGTGTTTGACTTTTTCATGTCCTAAAACACTTTATCCCTCTCTTCCAGCATAGATATGATAAAATGTAATGTAAACTAGTGGTTGCCCCTCCCATTTCTTTATTCTTTAGTCTCATTTTCTCAATTCTGAGCTATATTACAGTTATAAGAGTTTCCTTTTTATTAATTCTTTATTCTTAATTTTACCCCAGGCATCATGTCTTCCAGTGGAGAAAAAAAGACTGCCTCCCAGACCGACGGCAAGGCAGCCCAGATCAAGAAGTCCGAGATGGGCATGATGTCCTACAGGGTAAAAATCTTTCAAATAAACATATCTCCTACACTTGGACGTCGATTTAACATTACACTAACAGGTTTCTCTCTCTCCATTAGATGCATGTGTTCGACCAGGAGAACTTCCAGGGACGCATGATTGAGATTAACGCCGAGTGCATGAACGTTTGTGATATGGGCATGGACAGAGTTCGCTCACTACGTGTGGAGTGTGGACCGTAAGCATCACTGTAAAGTCTGCATCTATATAAAAGACACGTTTTAGGAAGAATAACAGATCTCACTCACCTCTTCATGTGCCCTCTGCAGTTTTGTGGGCTTTGAGCAGATGAACTTCTGCGGTGAGATGTACATCCTGGAGAAGGGCGAGTATCCTCGTTGGGATTCTTGGAGCAACTGTCAGAAGAACGACTACCTGCTTTCCTTCAGACCCGTCAGAATGGTGTGTGAATGCACACACAATGCACCTTCAGGCCCATTATTTGAATGCATTCGAATTGCATTGATTACTTTCTTGATCCTGCAGGACCCTGAGAAGCACAAGATCTGCCTGTATGAGGTTGGTCAGTACAAGGGCCGCAAGATGGAGATCATGGATGATGACGTTCCCAGCCTGTTCTCCTACGGATTCACCGACAGAGTTGGCAGCATCATGGTCAGCTGTGGAACGTAAGTGCAAAGTACCTGTGACCCCTGAGGTTTCACTTGGACAAACCTCTGTGCACTTCCCAAAAGCTTGATAGTATTGATCAATGTGGCTGTCAAAAACTTATTAAACTGTTAACCAGAAAATTTTTTTTTTTGAAAACAACAAGATGCAACTAGCTGTTTTTTTTTATTCTTTAATTCATTTCGTTTAACCTTTATTTTATTTCAAGTAAAAAAAAAAAGGTTTAATTTACTATAACAACCCTGGTTTATATAAATGAGTTTAAGCTAGTTGAATATCAAGGGTGCACAAACTAACCTGCAGACTCTTTTTTTTTTTTTTCTCAGCTGGGTTGGCTATCAGTACCCCGGATACCGTGGCAGCCAGTACCTGCTGGAGAAGGGCGAATACAGACACTTTAACGAGTACGGCGCCCGTTGCCCTCAGTTTCAGTCTGTGAGGCGTATCCGTGACATGCAGTGGCACCCGCACGGCTGCTACACCATGGCCAGCAAGTGAGGGCCAGTCCAGGAGAGGAAGAGGAGAGGTGGAGTAGAGGGAGAAGGGCGCAAGAGGAAGGAGAGGAGGAGAGACGTCTGAGAGGCTGCATCTTCCCCGTGCCGCCGTTATGAGGGGCGGATGTTTTCGGGGTGACAGACACCCTGACTCACATTGCAGTCTGTGTCTGTCGAGCTGGTAAAGTCCAGCGGGGCAGTGATTCTCCCAGGCCTCTGAGTGTCTCTGTGTAGGATGGAGGCACCGATAAACACACTTCCCTCTTCCTTCCTAGTTCCTCTCCTCTCTTTCTCTCCTGCATCACGGGTTCTTTTATTTCCTTCCATAATTTATTTACATTTTTTTTTTTGTCATCCGTTCTTTCCCCTGCCCACATCCCTCTTATCCCAGGAGCATGGAAAGAGAGAGGGAGAGATGAAGGGATGAGGAGAGAGAAGCTCCTGTGCTCTAGAAATCTCTCTTTGCTTGCTGTACAGAATCCTGGTCACCTTTTCAATAAAAACCTACAAGCTTGATAAGAAACTTTCGTCTTTGTCAATATGTTGATGTCATGCATATATAATCATGGCTGTTAATAATAATCATGAGGCCTAATAATAATAATCATGTGCATTATGAAGTAAAACTGGTGTATTTTCACAGGAGTGTGAAATGTAATGTCAGTTTATGTGTTGTAACTTGTAGGCTTACATCATGATTTTTAAAGAATTTTAATAAAGTTAGATTATTAAAATATATTTAAAATAATAGTAGTCTATGTTAAATAGCGCATGTATGCTATACCAAAAGTCCCCAGATGGTCTTGCGGTTCAGATGTAGCCTACAGGTAGGATGACCTCAAAATGAACAGAAGTTTATATGAGAATGAAAAAAATACATGGCCTATTTAAGTAATCAAAATGTAAAAACATAGCACACAACTTTATAAAGTTGCACCACACGGGAATTTCACACAGATGCCGAAGTTCCATCAAGAGAAAATCAACTCAAACTGAAGAATTTGTACATAAACACATTGCATTTTGTATTCAGATGAGATAATTCTTAGAAATGTCTGGAACATAAAAAAAACTTTTGCATCATTTCAGGCCACAGTAGCCTAACTCTTGCGGTATGGGTATGTAACACACTGGATTCGAAGCCACGATGTAAGACGTTCAGGGCCTGTGGCATAACACATTGAGCTACTCACTGATGTACATGCAATATAGGCTGCTGAGGAGAGCTTTCAGTGTGAGAATGAGCAAACAAAAGCATTACTTGGGATGTTAACCAGATTAGCATGCTAAAATAACTTCATACTAACGTAGATTACGGTTAACCTGATAGCTGAAGAGCCACATTAGAAAGAATGGCAATTGGTAAGCATGCTAACCATTTGGCATACAAAGATAACTAGCATAAGACAACAAACATATGCATGGTCAACTTTTGTGAGGGATTTCTCAGGGCCGTTAGTGAATATCAAAAATCCGTTTAGTCATTTTGTGTGGCTCGGTCCAAAGATCTTCTGATCTGATTTTGGACAAAACTGGACAAAGTTTGTACGAGTAGCGGAAAAAAAACAGTTTTTCATTTGCTTCAAAATGGTGGACAAATAAAATGATGGAAAGAGAAAAATTACATATCATCAGAATCGGCATAAGCCAAGGAAATTAAGGACACAGAGAAAACAAATTTTGAACAATGTTTTCAAATAGTGTTTTTGCAACAAAGAAACTTATATCTCTGGAACACTAGGTGTCACTGTGTTCAAACTTTTCATGTACCTCAGGACATGCTGATGATGATCCCTACTTAATTTTGTGTCAATATGTCAAATCATTTCAAATATGTTGCAATTTCTGCAAAATTCAAAATGGCGGACTGATGGTTCGTCCGATCCTGGCAAAATCCTCGGATTTGGCATGACTCAAGGAATCCATAGACACCAAGGTCACAATTTTCTGACAAACTGTTCAAAAGTTATGAGAAAATAAATAGCCTTAAAAAAGCAATTTTTCAGATCTCATGACCTGTAGGTGGCACTGTTCTCATTCTGGGTGAATGTGTTAAAATCACAGTCTGCTTGATAGCTACAAAGAGAAGAGACGTGAACGGTTATCAAACCACTGTAATCAAATTATTTTATTTTAAAAAAATTAAGCACACTATACAAATTCAATACACTCGTAATCAGACAAATATATCTCTGAAAATACCAATTAAACAGTACAATTACAACATTAGGCTACTATACTGAAATGAGAGACTGCTTAATAATACTTAGGCCTACTTAAAATTAAAAAATAATTTTTACAAATTTTATCTCTTGAGGCCTATCGAAAAACATTCAGATAGCTGCACCATGTGTCCCTCGTAGTGACTTATGACGAAAATAAAGTCTGTAAAATGTCTGTGTGGCTTCCGTCAACGTGACATCATCCTCACAAACTCTGGAAGGTTGAGTGAGGAAAAACAAAAAGGAAAACAGAAATACTATTCAGTGAGGTAAACTGAAAATGCTAAGAAAGGAGAATATTAGTCATCCTTATTTGTCCATCTTTCTCTTTTACCTTCAAAGTCAACCCGTCCGTCCCCGTTGAGGTCGGCATCACGAAGGATATCGTCAATATCACTGGGTTTCAGCTGTTCTCCCATCAGCTTTTTCATGGCTTCTCTCAGTTCTGTGACGCTGATTTGCCCATCACCATTGGAGTCAAACTGCACACCGGTAAAATGCTGATAAGGCCACTGATGGCTACAGTCAATACAGTGGTGTGTGAGTGTGTGTGAGTGTGTGTACCTCTTTAAAGGCATCTCTCAGCTCCTTGACTCCGATCATGTCTGCTGTCTCTGCCAGCATTTTGGGGCCCATGAGCTCCACAAAGTCCTCAAAGTCGATTTTACCCCCACCTTAAAAAATACAGAGAATGTATGGCTTTAAACACAAGTGATTTTTTTCTACTTTTTATTCTTCTGTAACATAATACAAAATGTTAAAAAAATGTTAAATACAATTTTATTTTAAATTACATTTTATTATTTTATCCTTAAAAATACAGAAAATACAGATTAAAATTTCCCTTATTCATTTTCTTATTTTTTTCTATAAATTATTACAAAATGTTTACATTTTATTATTACATTTAATAATAATAATAATTTAAAAAAAACTTAAATCAGAAGACTGAAAAGTTTAATTTAATTAAAAATCCCAGATTTGTTTTATGGTCTCAGACTTTTGGACTATAATACAGTACCATAATATCTGCATGGGCATTTTGCCACAGATCATAACTGCTTTCTCAGTGATGTCACTCACTTATTTGTTGACTCAGTTCAATGAGTTCCATCTCTGTCGGCATGTATCCCATCGTCCGCATGCATTCGCCCAGGTCCCTGCAGTTGATGTATCCTTTGTTCCTATCAAACTCTTTAAAGGCTTCTCTTAGTTCTGCATAAATACAAAAAGGAAAGAGATGTTGAAATGCAGGAACAGGGTGTTTACCAGTCTGACCTTGGGTGAGGAGTGTGGTTTCTGTGAATACCTTCTATCTCTTCTGGCCGCAGTTCCCTGTCCTGTTAAATCAAGAGACATAAGAAAGGCGTTAAACACTGATGCACTTGAAGACATCTCTCTCTCTCTCTCTCTCTCTCTGAATCATCAAAACGACAAAACACATGGGTATGTGGAAATGAGAAACTGGGACAAAATGCAAGTTTGAGGACTGATTCCAATGTGTAATAATGTAGTGACATGGGTAGTCACTAGATTACACAGTGAAAGTTGCCCGGCAGCAGCTAAAAGATAAGGAGATTTGGGGGGTTTAACTTGTGGAGGGCCCACAGAAATAGAGATAGAGAGTGGATGAGGTTAAACAGAGTCCCTTGAGAAAATCCCATAGATGATTCTCTTTTCCATTTACAGCTTTATCTATAATACCCAATAATACCATATAGTAAAAACATGCATATACGCATATTGTAAACCAGTGGATTGCATATGGCGCAAATGCAGCGCAGAATCCTTTCTCAGTTAACTGTATATCATATCCTCACAGAGACTGTTCAATAAAAAAGCATTGTTAAAAATCCATTGTCATTCATCTCAACCAGAGACGATAGTCAAACATTATACAATACTTTTATTCAGCAATGCATTAATTTTTTAAAAGTTACAGTAAACATTATTGTTAAAAAAAATGATTTTTATTTCAAATAAATGCTCTGTAAAAAAAATAGTTGGCTTAACTTAAAAAAGTTACCTGGTTGACTTAAAATTTGGAGTTCATTGAAATAAAAAATTGGAGTTAATACAAAGAAGGAGATTAATTAACAGAATCTCAAAATATTATGTTATTTGAACCACATTAATTATCTAAGTTGATTTGGACAAAAGAAAAAAAGTTGTGATAACAAATCATGAAAATATTTTTTTACAGTGTGCATACGGTTCTTTTGAACTTTCTATTCATCACTTTTTTCAAATATACTAATTTAATAAAGTATATTAAATTAAATATTAAATATATATTAAATATATTAAAATAAAAAACAGTTATTTTAAATTGTAATAATATTTCACAATATTACTGTTTTTACTGAATCAAAATAAATGATCAAATAAATGTAGCCTTGCAGGGTAGCCTTGCATAAATGACAAAAACTTTTCTTTTTTTTTAAATCTTACTGATCTCAAACTATTGAGCGAGACTTTTGGACAACTTTTGATGGCTGCTGAACAAATAAGCTTAAGCAGGAAAATGAAACAAACCTGCAAACATCACTTTATTTCCCACTTTAGGATGACTTATCTTTCCATTCCCTGCATGATCTTTTACAACAAACCAGTGGACGGGAGTGAAATGTAGTAGATGATTCACAATGACGATGATGTGATCTTTTCTATTAATGCAAGTGGAGAATGTAGATGCTGAGACACTATGTTTTTAGTTTTTCATAGTACATACGAGCTGTGACTGTGCGAAGCCCTGTCTTAGGAAGATGCATGCGGGTCCCACGATATTATGTAGCATGGTGCAGTTTTGGACCAGTGCATTCAGAGGCTCCTTAAACTCAGAAGTTACTTCATTTTCTCCGTCAGCGTCTCCGGGTGGGCGGGGCCCTGGCGCCACTGGCCCAGCCACTTTACCCTCAGCCACACCCTTGGGGTGAGGCCAAATTTGACTTGAGACATAATCTAATTAAGCACATTTTAGCCAATTTGTTTGACATGTCTATAAACTAAAGTATATTAAAATACTGATAACAAAATATCTAGATTATAAAAGTCTTAAAGTCTCACTTCAATATTACATTCAACACAGAAACACAGTTCCCCGATACACAGGCCCTGACCTTTCAATAGGTTTCTCTTACCTTCTTCATTTTGTTTTTCATGGATGGTTTGGTGCAGTTTCCCATGACTTAATCCTCAGTGAAGATGTTTCCTACCTCACCTCTTCTGTTCTTTTTATAGAATTAATTTATAGAGTGGAATGACAATATAACACCCGCCTGCTGCCATATTAAGCTACTTAAAGTCCATGTTGTTTATTACTCTAAAAAAATGTCTCTTTAAACCTTTGCATTTTTTCTCATTATAACTATCAGTCAAAGCAAACCACAAACAACACTAATGTTTCATAGAACAAGAACACTTCTCCCTATTCTTGCCATTTTCACATCTCCCTGCCTCTTTCCTCTCTTCCCTATCCACTCACTTTGTTTCCTCACAGATTGCAGTCCAATGCAAATGATTTCGTGGCAAGCTGAAAGAGAGAGAGGCCGAGCGGGAGAGGGAGGTAAGGGGAGGGTGAGAAATGAGAAGCTTTTTTAATCCCTATTTCAGATTAAAGACGGAGAGCCACGGGATGATGAGAGCACAAGGAGATTTGAGAAACAGAGGAGAAACAAATAAGTGCAAGAAAGAGCAGTGGTCGATTAACCAGGAGATATTCATATATTGTCCATATTTTTATTTCAAATGACTAATTGGAAACTAATGTTTCCTTTTTCTTTTTTAGAGTAGCCTACATCTTGTGCAAAATAAGTGTGCATTTATTTCACTCAATTTCTGTATTGCTCAACATTAAATTATTACATTTAAAAATTCAATATGCTATGATGTCTCACACCACTTGGAAAATCTGGGATTCAACATTTTAACTGGGGTTCTTTGTAGGATTATATAAAATAAAATAAAAATATTTAATATTCCGTACTATTTCTACTATTTCTTCTATAAAATGCATGGCATTGATCATGTGATCTCCTTTGCAGACTTTGCTGCATTAATCATAGACTAACTGATCTATAAATGAACATGCATAAAACTGTGAAAGAAACAGTGTAAATGGTTTACTGTCTTGTGTACTATTATGTATATGGTATACCTTGGTATACAACCAACTATGTATCATGCCTCCTACCTAATTAATCCTCATTTAATGACTCACACTTTGATGTACATCACCTTCTTCTAGAATGCAGTGTGGATGTGTTATATCTATATGAGCATTAATGAAGGTATAACCACGCTTGGGACAAAGACTCGTAAATTAACTAGAGCAACCTTCCCACTCGGACATTTCACCTTGCTTATTGGTCCAGTCAACCCTTAGGGGTTGGATCTTTCTCAGCCTTTATTAGAGACAGTCCACATGTGACCTCCCTCTCTTAGTTTTTCATCCAGCCGCAACACTGTTTCTGGTGATACTGGGGAACCCCCTCCCCCTCCACGGGGGCCCCAGGGCCCAGCAGGCCTTGATCCAAACAGATATGGGCTCATGCAGGAGAGAGAAGACTCTCTCACAAAGAATGAAGGACAATCTCAGGAGTTTGGAACCAGGACTCCAACCAACAACGACTCCAATCACCCACTCTTCCGACTTCCTCACTTCTCCTGGGTGCTCGGCGTGGCCTCAACAGGGCCCAGGGCCCCAGGCCTTGACCAAACCAGCCATGTGCTCATGCTTTTTCATGGAAGTTTCAAACAACTTCCACTTGCCACTGCCGGAACCCACAACAACTTCAATTTTCCACAACCTCAAGAATTGTTCCCACTACAAATGCAAGTATGCAATTCAATGAAATGTGAAAATGAAATGCTGTTGGTTCTTATAGTTAGATGGATCTTCTCCATCGTTACATCATTCCATCTCTCACTCCTTTTTCCTACACATGTATTTATGTATTTATTAGGGGTGTAACGATACACGTATTCGTATTGAACCGTTGGACCATTTTTCCTGCCGACCAACATTTCGTTATTTCAAATGTAGGCGCGTTGCGTGTGGCAAGCACACTCATAATGTAAGAGATGCTGGCGTGACTACAACATTGCCCAACATCAAATGGCAAATGTAATGTAATCGGAACGAAACTGAGCTACTCGTTAATGTGTGGTTGACGGACCGTTTATCAGTTTGGACCAGCGCGAGCCGATCTTAATCGAGCAGCGCTGTTACTACACAGCGCAATCCAGTAAAGAAAATTGAATTCGCCAGTGAAGTAATAACATCGCTGCGAGATCTAGTGAGAAACATTCACATTTCTCCGTTATTAACGGATCAAACACCGCTGACGTGGAAACCAGGAAGAAACATTGTGCCATGAATGAACTATCCAGTGTCCACAGATCAGCAACATTCACCATGGATGTACTGTAGTAACACTACTAACTGTAACCATGGACGTTTGACAGGAATAGTAGCCTAGGCTATAATGCTTGCAGGTAACATTACGTCAGTTTTATTTTGACATTATGAATACAATTGCTGCCATCAAATGTTAATCTGAACTAAAATAAACCTTTGTTTATAACTACTACAATATTACATTTCATTTTGTCCAAGGAGCTGTTTTGTTTTATATGCTCCTAAGAAAAGTCAAGTATAGCTCCATCATTGCTCAAAGTAAAAAAATATCATACTTTATGATTAGTTTTAATAAAAATATAATTAAAAAATTAAATCAAGGACATTTCTCTGGCATTTCTTTCTTTTTGCTGTATCAAAAACGTACCGAACCGTGACAAGTGTATCGTATCGAACCGAACAATGAATTTTGTGAACCGTTACACCCCTAGTATTTATGTATGTTTGTTTAGTTTATTCATGTTTATGATTTAGTTAATAAAACTTGTGCACTTTATGTATTTGGTTCTGATTCACTGCTTGCAAACAAAGTCTCTTTTACGATCTTGATCTTGCTACATGCTCAAAGCGCTGTACATGCTAAGAAATTATTATTCTTCTGTGGCCATTGAAGATACCCTTTTCTTAGAATAAATTAATAATCAAAAGAGTTCGTTGGACAAACTGATTAATTGATTGTAATATTAATTTAACCATGTCAAGTTAATCCAATTAACTGACCCAAATATTCATAATTAATCATAACAAGTTATTATTGATTATTAATATTTCCTAGAGCTAAGTTCCTTACAGCTATTATATCAGCCAAATGGATACGAGATATCAGTATAAGCCATATAAAAAAACATATTGGTAGACCACTAAGAAAGAATGCATAGTTTGTAATGTTACTATGAAGAGTCAAATGAAAAATACAGGAGGTTAAAAGCTAGAATGGTTGTCTTTTTAACAACGGGTGAAAGTTGTGTATGTGTGTGTGCATGTGATAATCCCAGTCTAATCAAAGCACACCTTTGGGCAGATGAACAGAGAACCACTATTTAATCCGCACTCATATTTTAGTAAAACCCTGCGACATTGCCCTGTGTATATACCAGCCTGCCAGAAATGATAATCTACTCTAATCCAATCACACATACACGTTGAAACTGTGAAAGCAGAAACTGTGTTTCTGTGCCAACATTGTTGTTTAAAAGAAAAGATCAGCAAATGTAGATAAATGCTACACTTTATTGTATAATAGTGTATAATACAAAAACCATCATGACGCATTTGTGGTGCGTATGAGGAAGAATTAGTTTGAGTCTGCATGTTTGAGCCAACAGATTAGAGTCAAGTCAAACGAGGTCACTCTATGAGCAGCTGAGCATTGTGGGACTTGAGTCCCAGATGTGTTTGAGTTCACCAGCTGCTGTACATGCAAACTGCATGAGTAATAGCAATCATATAGGCCTAGTGTTCTCTGTGTGTATTGACAGAGAAACATGACAGGAAATGCTTTTAGGTTATGCTGCTATAATCAGTGTTTTATTTTTCTCTTTGCTATCAGTGTTGACAAAAAGCAATGCACACAGATGCTCATATAGCCTACACGAAGTGGTTGTTTTAGAACAACAACAAGGATCATAAAGTGGCCACAAGGAGGTGCTGGAGGTCTGCGAAAAATTAGAAAAGAGATTTTACTAAATGTTTTTGAGGGCTTAAAATAACGATCAAATATGTTTAACGCAAATATTTAAAAACACTACTTTGGAACAATATGTATTGTAAAACAATCACAAAAAAATCCAATTGCATTATCATTTTAAAAATAATTCCAAATAATTTTAATCTAAATTAGGCTTAAAATGTTTTTCTGCATCTAACATTAATCTAATAAAAGGAAGAACAGACGTATAGTCAACTTAATTCAAATAAAAAAAATATGTTTAGTATGTAAAATAAACGTTTACTTATTTGCTTTAGTACAGTAACAATATAAATGCCAATTAATTATTCTAGCAAAAAATTATGTTGTCTTTATAACACCTTTACCCCTCACAGATTATAAATGGATCTTTACATGTATTCATGAAAATCTAAAGATGCTTTTATGTTTTAGAAACTGGGTAATAGTAAGTAATAAGTAATAGTAAATATTAACTTACTTTTTAAAGTAACAATTAATACTTATTTGGGGGTCATTGGCATCAAATTTTGAAAGCCGCTTTTTTAACTTTAAAGCTGCACTAATATACAGAATTCATTAATATCCATGGTTATAAAAACACTTTTATATGTCGAAACAGTTCAACTGGCCTGAGATGGAAAAAAAACCTCTCGGTAGATTGAGTTCCTTGTTTTTGAAAAATGCCATATGTTTAGCATGGGTTTAATTTACTATAAAATCGATTTTCAGAAATAAAACACCCTCTTTTGCTTTTCCACCCTCCCATTTAAGTGGAGAGTTACTCGCGTTTCCAGTTCAGATCCTTTGCTTTATTTATTGACTTAAAGATAATCTATTGTCAGACTGGTCAACCTATATGTGTTAACCCTTTTATCTAACAATACCCATTCTCAGGTAACTTAAATGGATAGAGTTTCATTCAGAGAATGCTCTAATGAAAATTACTTTGCAAATGTAAGCTACAAAAAAGTAAATAACAATATAACCTAAAATAGTTCATTCTTTTTTCAGTACTTTTGACTAAACAAAAGCAAGAAAAGATGTTTATTAAATTCAGCTTAGGCAATGACTCAGTAAATGCATCATCCTAAATGAGTTTGTAGCTATCTATGTCTCCAAGCCAATTAAATAATTATGACAATAACAAACAATGATCCCTCTTCCAGAAAGGTGAGTGGACGAGATTGTGTTTCTAGTGTGCTCACCGCTGGTGATTCAAGCTCGATATCAGGTGATTACCACTGGACGCAAGGTTATCCTATAGTGTGGGAATGCAACACTACAAGGGTAAGACCAGGTCACGACTCATGAGCGGATGAACCACGAGGGGACAGGTACGTGCTTGTTAGGACAGCTCCTTAACCTGTCGTCTCATGCATGACAGTCACCTAACCACCTATTTGCTAATGAAGTAAGTCACTTTGGGACACAAGTAGGCTATACATTCCCAGAATAGAAACATCATGCATCTAAATATTTTTAAAATGTTTCATGTGGTAAATTAAATTAAATTTAGTCAAGTAAAAAATATTGTTTAAGATTGAACTGGGTTATTATCAATAACTAAAACTAAAAGCTGAAATAAAATTAAATATGGTGTTAAATGAAAATGCGAAATATTGCAAATTTACTAAAAATTAAACAAAAATTAAAATGAAAACTGAAATAATACATAAAAGATTATTCAAAATATAACTAAAAACTATAATAGTATATAGGTAAGTAATACAAAAATAACACTAAATTAACCTGACTGAAAGTGAACCTCAAGTAAATTTTCCAATGAAAGTCAATTTTGAGGGTCAGGTCGGGTGGATAAAGGTGAATCGAACATATTGGATAATGATTTCTAGATTTACTTAAAAAGTTTACTAAGAAACTACCATTAAACTGATGCTTTGACATGCATTTAATTTCTTATATGATTTGCTATATATAAACCCTATTTCTACCATTAAATCTACTAACCTAGTCATTTAGTCAGGATGAATAATTTATTTTAAATAACATTTTTACTAAAATAAAATCAGTTAAACTACTTAGATAACATGATGATATTTATACTTCACAAAAAATTGACACTCATTTATTTAGCAGAATTGAAGGTAGTAGTGGGCCACTGAAAGACTGCTGGTCACGGGTATGAAATGGCAATATGTGTATGGGATATGAATGTGGCCTGCAGGGGGTGCTCTTGTGCAGTCTTACTTGGCCAAACACAGACTCAACGATAGGTACGAGGTCGAGTTCCACCTTCTCCTTCGATTCCCCAGTCTCAGCGGGCTCCTCTTCAACTTCCTTCTCACCATCTCCACCTCTGCTGGGAGGAAGGACGGGCTGATTCTTTCGCTGTCCCATTTTAGGTTTTGCATTGCTGTTGAATACCTCCACCACACCCATTTCGACTTGCTTTTTCTGTTTCTCCACCTTCTTCTTGATTGCGGCTTGGACCTGTCAGAAGGCACAGGAGGTCAGACATCCTAAACTAAGCTGACGATTAATCAGCAACTGGGGACTAATTTTAAAGATAATTGCAATTATAAGCTACATAGAACTGAGTAGCGCCATATTTAATTTTAGACAGAGATGAAAAACAAGGCTGTGAAGCGTGTTCAATAGACTGTAGCCTACTGGTGTTGTTTACCAACATAATTATTGATTGTTCCAAAAGTAGACAAAAACTCCATAAAACCATTTTGAAACTTGTGAGTTGTAAAAATTACTATGTGAAATAATAGAACCAAATGCCTCAGCCTCGTTTTCATCCACGTAAAATTCAATATGGCGCCACCCTTACTAAAATTTGTAAAGGGAGTGAGGCACACATACAGTTTGATTACAATGTGGGTTGTTTTTAAGAGAGAAAAAAAGTCACAGTGGGTGGAGTCAGAGCACTGGCTGGTAAAACTGTCATCAAGATTTGAACTGTAATGTCAGCAATACAGTCAAACTTGACTGTATTGTTTGTACTGTATTGTTTGTACTGTAATGTAGACAATAGGTGTGTTCGACTTGATGCGGCGCTGCGCAGAACGATCGGTGTATGACATCAAAGTACCGCGATGGCGATCCGAAAGCATGCTAATCGCTCTCGCTGTACTTTGATGTCATACACCGTTCGATCTATGCAGCACCGCTTCAAGTCGAACACACCTAATGTGAACACAGGTAAACATAATTTTACTTAAATTAAACTAGTCATCCAGCATAATTACAGTGGCTGTGCTCATATTAAACTTTCTAAGACTGAACTGAACACACTTACAGGCTTTCCAACGACTAGCAGATTTTAAACACCTACTATGAACACCGACTAAACGCAACTGTCTCTGACTTGGCGCGTTTGTGATCAGTCGTAAGTATCAAATAACATTCATAATCAGCCTTACAATCGTTAAGTGTGTCCCCGGCTTAAGTTCAGTCTTAAAATTCAGCAAACAGAATAGCAGGGGGGAAAAAAAGATTGTTTTTTTTATCAGAACAATCAACGCATCAAATCAGAACAATCCGTCCATCTGCCATTGGTCGGTCAAATAGCCTATCAATCAAACAAACATTTCTCTGTTTGTTTGAGCTCAGCCTGGCATAGCAACATTGCCCCAAAACTTATGTCATTGATTGTGCCAATGTTGCCAAGCCAGGCTGAGCTCAAACAAACAGAGAAATGTTTTTATAGTGCCGAAGAGTTACGCTTTACATGGAAATCAATCTACTGTTTAGTTGTCTGTGCATACTAAGCTGGAAAAACAAGGTATTTTAACATTGTAAAAATCACAATTTACCTTTAAGCTGATTTTACTCAGAGCAGAATATTTTAAAGACAAAAATCACTCTCTGGGAATCAAAAAAAAAGTATAGTTCATATAATACAAGCACACACATGAATGACTCTACCTGTTTCGCTGTTTTCACCGGTGGAGCGCTCATGCCGCCGGTACTACCTGCCCCTCCTGCTGATCCCTCTCGAATAATCATGAACATCCTTGCAACAATGGCACGCTCTCTCTTTCTCTTTCTCTTCTCTCTCTCTCTCTCTCTCTCTCTCTCTCTCTCTCTCTCTCTCTCTCTCTCTCTCTCTCTCTCAGTAAGACAACACCTGTTCTACCCCTCCCAGTATGGGCCTGTCAGAGGTTCCCTCCGTGCAATTGCAATCGTTACTCTCCTGTGAATTTCTCAGAACTGTCTTCAGTAACTCAAGCTGAATTAGGAAGGCTGGATAAACGTGGTAATTTTCTTTTCAAAAATCAAAAGAAATCAATTTAAACCTCTTTCTGCTTTGCCACATCTTTCATTCTATTGATGCCTATATGTCTCTCTCCATCTGACTCGGTCATCTGCTCCTCTGTAGAAGTCCACAGTTTGTCATCCTTCTCTCTGCCCAGGTGTGTTTTATCCAACAGGGCAAAGAAATACTGAAGGATACCGTGTCTGCTTTTTGGCCTTCTAACATTCCGAAGGTGACACTCTATCCATCCGATACCTCTCTCTCCTTATCTTTCATTTGCCCTTTTCAGTCTGAGTTCTAGGCTGCATTCTAAAGTGCATTGGATTGGTAAGATAAGGTGTTTCTGTGTTAGTAGATTAAAAAAAACAACAACAAAGGTTTATATGAAATCTCACACACATAACCTCGCTCTACACACTGTTTTCTGCTTGTTTTTATTTATTAATTCATTTATTTATTTGAAATTTGCTTCTTTATTTCATAGCGCTTTCTGACAGTTTTTGTTTTCTAATGTTTTATTTTGTTTTACAATAAATTATTTTATTTTATATTATTTGAAAATTATTAGTGTAACAAACATCAACTATAAACCATGAGCTGTTGTGCAGTGATCTCTATCATCCTGTTATCTAAACCTGGATATGTTCTTAACTGATGCCACAGCAATCAACCTCTATTTCTTATGATTCTGTTACTGGAGAGATGTGGCAAGGACTTTTAAGTAACTTATACGGAACGTTCCCTAATTATAATTTTTTTGGTTATTATTTTGCAACCATAAAATATATGACCTATACAGAGCTCTGAAATTAGTTTAATACAGCATTTGAAATTAGATCAATATAGGAAAATTAAGCATGTTTAGTAAAAGTGTAGTTATGGTTTTGGTGAATTGATTACCATTTGTATAACCACATTTTAGCCAACCACAAATAGCCTACCATGATGAAACTATGGTTAGTGTAGCAAAACCATTGCTAATTTGTGGTTGCCATGGTTTAACTACAATAACCATGTTTTTTGTAGTAAACCGGTTAATTTCGTAAGGGTAATACTTTGGTTATTTGATGACTGGCAACGTTAGGCTAACTGCAACGTCATTATCAAATTATAATTCTTTTTGTGTTCTGATGACTAGAATTTGCATAAAGTGTAATTAAAACGCCAGTCTGAAATTTTCTTTAAGATAAAATTTGTTAAAGCCAAAGATATATGGATTGGACGATAGCTAATATAACTATAAAAAGCATATCGTCTATGTCAGGAAAGTGCATTTTTCTGAGGTGAGAGACTTTTTTTTTATTTCGTAATTTATGAAAATAAGATTATAATAATAACCCTTTTCTGAGGTTTACTTGATTCCTGAAATCCAATTTATTTGAGATTATGTTATGTTATGTGCTGTGGCAGAGAAACATCTCAGGGGGTGCTTCTCATTTCTTATTTGTGCATCCTCGTTCTCTTACGAGAGGTTCTCTCGTATTGCGTAAGCTAGCTTACGCTACGGGAAAGATTCATCTTTTCTGAGAAATTGAAGCCAAAAAATTATCCTATAATTTTGTATCCATTGTCAACGCAGTTCAGCTGCAGCAGACCATGAGCGGGCTAGCTAGCAGCTCATTGGTTCGCTCACAGAGAACTGCTTAAGCCTATGAGGGGACGCGAATGAACTCTCGGCCAATGAGAGTCTGACATGCTCTTATTGCGTCAGAGCCCGCCGAAACGGGCGTGGTCAGAGAGTATAAATTCGCCTCCCAGGCTGTAAACTCTGATTTTTCATCTCTTCAGCGAGGCTACACACATCTGCTGATCCTGAGAGAAGCCGCCGTCGTCGAAAAGGCAACTCTAGCGAGCATCTGGGAGACTGAGGAAGCCGGCCGTCTTCGCCACCTTCAGCCGTCCTGCGAGCTAGCGCCATCCGACGGATTTGAATCCTTTTTACGAAAAAGCTTCCTATATTGTATTGTATTGTACCTAAAAGAGCCGAGCGTCTTTGTAAAGATGTCTCGTAAATCCTCCTGCGGTTCTTGCCGCGCTCCCCTCGAGACTGGAGACCGCCACGTCATCTGCGCTCTCTGCCTCGGATTGGAGCACGCCGAGCTCGCCCTCGCCGATGGCGGCTGCGATCTCTGCGAGGAGATGCCGTTGTCGACCCTGCGGGCTCGACTTCGGGCCACTAAAGTTGCTTCCGCGCCGCCTCTGACTTCGCCGCAGAAGAAGAAACGCCGCTTTCAGAGGCCGCCGGAACCCCAGCTGGAAGCGTTCATCCCGCCGGAGCCTGTCGCCTCCCGCTCTCCTTCTCCGCCGCTTCCGGACGTACAGTTGCCGCCGAGTGGCCGCTCTGTCGCCTCCGATGACGCCGCGGACATCAAGGAAACCTGTTCGCTTCTCGCTTCAGACAGTGAGGAATGGTCCGGTTCTCACGCCTCCTCGGCCCGAGAATCCTCTGGGACCCGCGCTGGAATCGAGGAGGAATTAGTGCGCCTCCTCTCACAGGCCGTCGAACGCCTCGGGCTCGATTGGTCCCCTCCCCCCGAGCAGACCATCAACCATATGGACGGCAGCTACTTCCGCCAGCGCTCGACTCCCGTCACTAAACGGGCTGCGCCCTTCCTGCCTGAACTGCACGCGGAACTCACAAAGTCCTGGAATGCCCCGCTCTCTGCCAGAACTCGCTCTGACTCTTCCGCCCGCTTCGCGTTGTGGACGGAGCTGCAGAAAAGGGCTATCTCTCCATTCCCCCTGTAGAGGACCTGGTCGCCGCACATTTATGCCCGCCTTCCACGAGATGGCGCTCATCACCTGTGCTTGCCTCTAAAGCCTGCAGAGCGACTTCGAGCTTTCACGCCCGCGCTTACTCAGCCACCGGCCAAGCAGCCTCTGCACTCCACTCCATGTCCGTCCTTCAGATTCTACAGGGCGATTTACTTTGTGAATGGGACGAGAGCGGAAAAAATCCCCCCTCAGTCGCGGATTTGAGGAGCGCCACGGACATTGCCCTTCGCGCTACAAAATCTGCTGCTCAAGCCCTGGGGAAATGCATGGCCGCCATTTGTGTGTCTGAAAGACATTTGTGGCTCACACTCGCCGACATGGGAGATTCTGAGCGCGCCGCCTTTCTCAACGCCCCGCTCTCTCCGTCCGGCCTCTTCGGATCTGCTGTCACGGGTATCGTTGGCCGTTTCTCCGAAGTGCAGAAAGCCTCCCAGGCCTTGAATCTCTTTCTGCCTCGTCGCGCTAGCTCCTCTGCAGCCCGCTCACGTGACCAGCCTCCTGCACGAGCCCCACCCCAGCGCCCAGCTCAGCACAGTCAGACTTCTCAGCGACGCCAGGGCGGGCGCCCTCGTTCTCGCTCTGACAGCCGCCACAGACCGCCGCCTCCCCGGGGGCCTCGGCCTAGGATCACGCTGAAACCTGATCACTCGAAGTCTGCCTAGCACAGCTGAGGAAAAGACGCCGCTCTCCCGCCGCGGCCGGACCGCCGTCAAAGTTTCGCCCTCTGATAGTCCCCGCTCACGCGGCTACTACAGCAGTGTACCCCGCCATTACCAAGCCGGTCCCCTTTCCCGCTTGCATGAGCACAAACGCCGTTTTCACGGCGACCCAGAGAAATCTCAAAAAGAGCATAAAAGCCTCCTGTGTAGAAATTGTGCCCACAACACTGTGTTCACTCATACACAAAAGCACTTCAGTTCCCGTGTTTCTCACAGAGCCCACTCTCATAAAGCGGTTCCAACCCGCTCGAGTTTCAGAGTGCATAAGCGCGCCCACGAGCCCGTGTGCACGTCCCACCTCTGCTCACTCTGTTACACGGCCCTTAAACTCCTATGAGCTTCTATGATCTTCTATGAGCGCGCCCGCGCAGCCCGCTATGTGCAGCAACGGGGACCATGTAGCCATTCACCCCTTAGCGTTGTGCTTCAAAGCGTGGGAAGCTATTCCGGGAATTTCCCAGTGGGTGCTAAACACAATAAGGCTAGGCTATCACTTACAGTTTCACCGCCGCCCTCCACGTTTCCGAGCGCGGCTAGAAACTATTGTGAACCCAGAAGCAGTGACTCTGCTCCGTTCAGAGATAGCAAAACTATTGTGCAAAAGGGCTATAGAGAGAGTTCCTCTGTCTATGAGCGAGTCGGGGTTTTACGGCCGTTATTTTCTGGTTCCAAAGAAAGACGGCGGCCTCAGACCAATCTTAGACCTCAGATTTCTGAACAAAGTTCTCATGAAGAGACCGTTCAAAATGCTCACTATCAGAAAACTCCTCGCGCATGTGCGCCAGGGCGACTGGTTCATTTCACTAGATCTGAAAGATGCTTACTTTCAGATTCAGATAAATCCCCTTCACAGGCCATTCTTACGTTTCGCCTTCGAAGGCCAGGTTTATCAATACACCGTCCTTCCGTTCGGCCTATCCCTAGCACCCCACACGTTCACGAAGTGCATGGATGCGGCGCTCGCCCCCCTGCGGAGTCAGGGGCTGCGAATACTGAACTATTTGGACGACTGGCTGATTTTGGCACAATCACAGAGAGAGCTACTGTCTCATCGTACAGTTCTCCTCGACCATCTGAAAGCTTTGGGCCTCTCTGTCAACTGGACAAAGAGCGCACTACAACCCAGTCAGACTATCTCCTTCTTGGGTATAGAGCTAGACTCGGTCACGATGACGGCTCGTCTGTCAACACAGCGCGCGCGCCGTGTTCAGCGTCTCGCCGCATCTTTTCAGATGAACAGACTCACACCTCTGAAAACTTTTCAGAAGGCGTTGGGTTACATGGCCTCAGCCTCCGCGGTGCTCCAGCTGGGGTTACTGCC